GTCCTGCAGCGATGGAAGGCTGCGGCCGATCACTTCCTCTGCAGAGCGCACAATGCGCTGTAGTCTCTGTTTGTCCCTGACTGTGGCTCCAGCGAACCACACGGTGATGGAGGAGGTGAAGATGGACTCGATGATGGCCGTGTAGAACTGCACCAACATCTGTGCAGGCAGCTTGGCTTTCCTGAGCTGCCGCAGGAAGTACATCCTCTGCTGGGCCTTCTTGATGAGGGAGCTGATGGTCGGCTCCCACTTGAGGTCCTGGGTGATGGTGGTGCCCAGGAAACGGAAGGACTCCACAGAGGTGATGGGGGAGTCCATCACGGAGGGTGGGGGCGGGGGGACAGTGCTCTTCCTGAAGTCCACAATCTCCACTGTCTTCTGGGCCTTCAGCTCACACGGTCTTGTGGTCCAAATCTGAGTTTGACATACCTGCACTAGACACTGGGGACTCAATAAATATATTATAACAACAACCAGACTAAAAATCCCTACTGACACACTGACCTTGGAGCACAGCTGGTTCAGAAAGATGTGGGTCAGTTTATTATTCTGATATCGTTTATTATTTCAGGTATTTATTTAGTTGTGAACTCCTGGGAACTCTATGTTGCACTAATTTGGTCAAATAATAGAAAGAAAAAGGCTCAATGGTTAGCACACCAGACAGAGACTATTCGTGTGGAGTTGTGCATATTCTTCCCATGTCTGTGTAGGGTTCCTCCAGGTGCTCCGGTTTCCCCTAACACTAAAAACATGTGCAATAGGTGTGAGCGTGGCAGTCTTGATGAGTGTTCTGTGTCTCGCTTCTGTCATCACCTTGGAGAGAATGGTGAATATTCATACTCCCTAAAACATTGAAAAGCCCATTGGGTCGTCTTGGTCTGAGAAATGCGTTATATAAATAAATATCACTTAATAACTGACACAAGCAATGTATCAGGCAAACATAACTCTGTAAACATGATTCTGACATAAAGTCTGTGTTTCCAGATTCAGAACCAAACAGAATCAGAATCCTTTTTTGTTGTTTTTATGAATAACAGTAAGTCACAAACTCAGAATCGGCTTTGGCACATGGTTCAGACAACTTATCCATCCATTCATTTTCTTCCACTTAATCCATGGCCGGGTTGTGGGAGCAGCAATCTAAGCAGAGACGCCCAGGCTTCCCTATACACACAAAAGTTGGGAAAGTAGACTTTAAGGCGGGACTGGCCTCCTGCTGGGACTCTGAGGAGCACAGGGACTGGCCTCCTGCTGGGACTCTGAGGAGCACAGTGACTGTTGCCCAGAGTCAGAATTAAACATGGCGATCCAGCGATACAGATGAATGCATGCAAACAGTGTCAAACAGAAATGGGTCCGAGCAGGTGAGTACCTCTGCTCCCTGCGCAGCTTGTAATAACATAATGCCATCCATCCATCCATTTTCTTCCGCTTTATCCGTTGCCGGGTCGCGGGGGCAGCAGTCTAAGCAGAGATGCCCAGACTTCCCTATCCACACACACTTCCTCCAGCTCATCCGGGGGGACCCCAAGGCGTTCCCAGGCCAGCTGAGAGACATAGTCCCTCCAGCGTGTCCTAGGTCTTCCGCGGGGCCTCCTCCCGGTGGGACGTGCCCGGAACACCTCCCCAGGGAGGCGTCCAGGAGGCATCCGGAACAGATGCCCGAGCCACCTCAACTGGTTCCTCTCGACGTGGAGAAGCAGCGGCTCTACTCCGAGCTCCTCCCGTGTGACTGAGCTCCTCACCCTATCTCTAAGGGAGCGCCCAGCCACTCTGCGGAGGAAGCTCATTTCGACCGCTTCTATCCGCGATCTCGTTCTTTCGGTCATTACCCAAAGCTCATGACCATAGGTGAGGGAGGGGACGAAGATTGACCGGTAAATCGAGAGCTTTGCCTTTCGGCTCAGCTCCCTCTTCACCACAACGGTCCGATACAGCGACCGCATAACTGCGCACGCTGCACCGATCCGCCTGTCAATCTCACGCTCCATTCTTTCCTCACTCGTGAACAAGACCCCGAGATACTTGAACTCCTCCACTTGAGGAAGGACCTCTCCACACCTGCAGAGGGCAAGGCACCTTTTTCCGGTCGAGCACCATGGCCTCGGATTTGGAGGTGCTGATTCTCATCCCAGCCGCTTCACACTCGGCTGCAAACCGTCCCAGTGCATGCTGCAGGTCCTGGTTCGTTGGAGCCAACAGGACAACATCGTCCGCAAACAGCAGAGATGAAATCCTGTGGTCTCCGAACCGGACCCCCTCCGACCCCTGGCTGCGCCTAGATATTCTGTCCATAAATACAGTGAACAGAACCGGTGAAAAGGGCAGCCCTGTCGGAGGCCAACATTCACCGGGAACAGGTCTGACTTACTGCCGGCAATGCGAACACAGCTCTGGCTCCGGTCATACAGGGATCGGATGGCCCTCAGCAGAGGACCTCCGACCCCGTACTCCCGGAGAACCCCCCAAAGGACACCCCGGGGAACACAGTCGAACGCCTTCTCCAAATCCACAAAGCACATGTGGACAGGTTGGGCGAACTCCCATGAACCCTCGAGTATCCGATAGAGAGTATAGAGCTGGTCCAGTGTTCCGCGACCGGGACGAAAACCACACTGCTCCTCCTGGATCCGAGATTCGACCATCGGCCGTAACCTCCTCTCCAGTACCTTGGAGTAGACCTTACCGGGGAGGCTGAGGAGTGTGATCCCACGATAATTGGAACACACCCTCCGGTCCCCCTTCTTGTAGAGAGGGACCACCACCCCGGTCTGCCACTCCATTGGCACTGCCCCCGATCGCCACGCGATGTTGCAGAGACGTGTCAGCCAAGACAGTCCTACAACATCCAGAGACTTTAGATAGTCAGGGCGGATCTCATCCACACCCGGAGCCTTGCCACCATGGAGGCTACCAACCACCTTGGTGACCTCAGCCAGGGAGATGGATGTACCCGCCCCAACATCCTCAGCCTCTGCCTCTGTAACGGAGGACGTGACGGGGGGATTGAGGAGAACCTCAAAGTATTCCTTCCACCGCCCGACAATATCCCCAGTCGAGGTCAGCAGCTCTCCACACGCACCGTACATGGTGCTGGCAAAGAACTGCTTCCCCCTCCTGAGGCGTCGGATGGTTTGCCAGAATCTCTTCGAGGCCGACCGATAGTCATGCTCCATGGACTCTCCGAACTCCTCCCAGTCCCGGGTTTTTGCCTCTGCAACAGCCCGGGCCGCGGCACGCTTGGCCTGCCGGTACTGGACAGCTGCCTCAGGAGTCCCCCGAACCATCATGGCTCGATAGGACTCCTTCTTCAGCCTGACAGCATCCCTTACTGCCGGTGTCCACCACCGGGTTCGGGGGTTGCCGCCGGGACCAGCACCAGAGACCTTGCGACCACAGCTACGAGCCGCCGCATCGGCGATTGAGGCAGAGAACATGGTCCACTCGGACTCCATGTCCCCCTCCTCCGCCGGGACCTGGGAGAAACTCTCCCGGAGGTGTGAGTTGAAAGTCCGTCTGACAGGGGGCTCAGCGAGACGTTCCCAGCAGACCCTCACTATACGCTTGGGTCTGCCAGGTCTGACCGGCTTCTTCCCCTGCCAGCGGATCCAACTCACGACCAGGTGATGATCGGTTGACAGCTCCGCCCCTCTCTTTACCCGAGTGTCCGAGACACGCGGTCGAAGGTCAGATGATACGACAACAAAGTTGATCATCGACCTCCGGCCTAGGGTGTCCTGGTGCCACGTGCACTGGTGGACACCCTTGTGCTCGAACATGGTGTTCGTGATGGACAAACCGCGACTGGCACAGAAGTCCAACAACTGAACACCGCTCGGGTTCAGATCAGGGGGGCCGTTCTTCCCGATCACCCCTCTCCAAGTGTCACTGGCGTTTCCCACATGGGCGTTGAAGTCCCCCAGGAGAATAACGGAGTCCCCGGGCGGTGCACCGTCCAGTACCCCTCCCAAGGACTCCAAGAAGGCCGGGTACTCTACACTGCCGTTAGGCCCGTAGGCCGTCACAACAGTGAGAGACTTGTCCCCCACCCGGAGGCGGAGGGACGCGACCCTCTCATTCACCGGGGAGAACTCCAACACGTGGCGGCTGAGATGGGGGGCAATGAGAATGGCCACCCCAGCTCGCCGCCTCTCCCCGCGGGAAACTCCAGAAAAGTGGAGCGTCCAACCCCTCTCAAGGAGTTGGGTTCCAGAGCCCAAGCTGTGTGTGGAGGTGAGGCCGACTATCTCTAGTCGGTATCGCTCAACCTCCCCCACGAGCTCGGGCTCCTTCCCCCCCAGTGAGGTGACGTTCCACGTCCCAAGAGCCAGATGTTGTGTGTGCGGACTGGGTCGCCGAGGTCTCCGCCTTCGACTGCCGCCCAGTCCTCTCAGCACCGCTTCACCACGGACCCCTCTGCAGGTGGTGGGCCCACAGGAGGGACTGCCCACGTCATCCCTTCGGGCTGAGCCCGGCCGGGCCCCGTGGGCTAAGGCCCGGCCACCAGGCGCTCGCATACGGGCCCCGACCCCAGGCCTGGCTCCAGGGTGGGGCCCCGGCTGCGCCATGCCGGGCGACGTCACTGTTTTCATTTCTGTGCTGTCCATGGTGTCTTCTGGACTGCTCTTTGTCTGACTCGTCACCTGAGACCTGTCTGCCATGGGAGGCCCTACCAGGGGCATGAAGCCCCAGACAGCATAGCTCCCAGGATCATCCGAGTACTCAAACTCCCCCACCACGTTAAGGTGGCAGTCCAGGGGGGGAGCCCCTGGACTGCCACCACATAATTCATATGTGAGCATAACATAATGCTCACATATGAATTATAAAAGTATCCTTACACAGTCTACGGCACTTTTTTACGGGTGTGAAGATGTATTTATGAAGCTGCAGAGAGCACTTTACACACACTCACCATCTGTGGCCTTTTATTTGAAAACAGCCAATGGCATAAAGCAGCACTAGACCCACCGAGTCAGGAGGTGTTGTCTAAGATGACACTGGCTCAGTCCTTGCGCCTGGTCCACAGCTGTGGTCTGGACCTCACTGAGCGATTCCCAAACTGCGGCTCCAACACGGCAGGACCAGTGTGATGCTGAGCAGACGACAGCAGCGTGAGCAGGAATGTGGCTCCGGGTGTTGGTTGTGCCGCTGGACCAAGGAAAGAGAGGGAGAGAGAGAGGGAGAAGGAGAGAGAGAGAGAGAGAGGGGGAGGGAGAGAGAGAGGGAGAGAGAGGGGGAGGGAGAGAGAGAGGGAGAGTGAGGGGGGGGGAGAGAGGGAGGGAGAGAGAGGGGGGGAGGGAGAGAGAGGGGGGGAGAGGGAGAGAGAGAGAGAGAGAGAGGGGGGGGAGGGAGAGAGGGAGAGAGAGGGAGAGAGAGAGAGAGGGGGGGAGAGGGGGAGAGGGAAAGAGAGAGGGAGAGAGAGAGATGGAGAGAGAGAAAGAGAGGGGTAGAGAGAGAGGGAGATAGAGAGAGGGAAAGAGAGGGGGAGAGAGAGGGAGAGAGGGGGGGAGAGAGAGGGAGTGAGAGGGAGAGGGGGGGAGGGAGAGAGAGGGAAAAAGGGAGAGAGAGAGGGAGAGAGGGGGAGAGAGGGAGCGAGAAAACGAAAGAGAGGGAAAGAGAGAAAGAGAGGGGGAAAGGCAGAGAGAGAGGGGGAGAGAGAGAGGGAGGGAGAGAGAGGGATGGCTGCCATGGAGACCAGCCACAATAATAAAGTCAGATCTGAATGATGCAGTGTCAGATGTTGGAGCCTGAACGCTCTGGAAACAGCAGCAAGTCCTGAGTAGCTCTGAAACAGTTTCTCTTGCTTGTACCTGTAACTGTTACTGCAGTACTGTGTTCATGGTTTCACACTGACCAGACCAGAAGGGTACAGACAGATTCTAGAACCACAAACAGGAGGCCCATGGGACACAGGCGGCCCTTATCCTACAGCATTGGTGGTGGTTTACACTAGGACAATTAGAACTCCCAGAGCCGTGTTACAAAAGTTCCTACTGAAGCACATTTTATCTTGGGAACAACCATATGATTTGTTTAACACAGCTCATAATTATAAATTCTGTAAAACATTGGCTAATCAGTTCAAACACACAGTCACTGAACTAGTTTGGTTCATGAACATCCATTTTCTTCCCCTTAATCCATTTCTGGGTCGGGGGGAAGTCTCATAGCACATCCCACTGGTAGATGTTCATTATTTGGTTCATAAACATCTACCAGAAAATAATCTCTAACGTATTTTTTTTGGTCAAAATACCTTCATCATGTAAAAAAATATATAAATGTAGATGACAATAATAAACATTTGAGCTCCAACAGTCTCTTACTGTACTTCCGACCCTCAAGGAGTAGTGTTTTTAAACCTGGCTCCGACCTAAATGAGTTTGAGTCTGATTGTACATGTAATACCTTGATAAAACCACTAGGGGCATATTACTGCCTCTTTACGTGAATATTTGCGTATTGTAAACATGGGGCCTTCTGAGCCCTACTGTCGGAGTAAATAGATAGGAACATACGAGAATAATGAAGATTGTGTTGGTGTGAAGAGGTGAGAGGCAGCTGTTCGTACTTACTGTAAGTACTTTAAGTCTTGGCTGCTACTTAATGGAAAGTCCAACATTAATGACGAGCCAAAATGTGTCGACAGTAACTCCACTAAAACTGTCATCTGGATAACCACTCACTCAGGCAAACAATAAAGCCAGAGACGAGCCAAATACTTACAGACTGAAAACCCGTTAGCTTTTCTCTTGACTGACGCGGCTTCGGTCCGATCGTTCAAGTGGATGCGACGTCGGGCTTAACTGTCCTTAAGTGCGTGGTCCAGATAATGACGGTTCTCATGTCGCCTTGCAGGACCTGCTGGGGGTGGGGTGGGGTGGGGGTGGGGGTGGGGGGGGGGGGGGGGGGGCAGAGGTGCTCCCCACATGGGCGGGAAGTAAAACACATGGAGGAAGTTAAAAAAGAGTGAGAAAAATGAGAGGATGCAGAGATTAGAGGTAAATACAGAGATATAACTCACATGAGGAGGGCAACAACACAGAGTCAAGGGTTAAAATTAGTTCTATCCCATTGTTCAAATACACAGATATAGATAGATGAAAAGACAGATGAATAGATAGTTTGATAGATGGATCCTTTAGTTATTTCACAAGGGAAGTTAAAGTTTCCATCTGTAGTGAATAGACAGAGAGCAATAATCTAAAACTTGTAACACCCTCTAGCCTGGACTTATCCATCCGTAAACTCTGGTCCATGATCATTTCCTACATCTCTACACGTCTGGGTCTGATCCTAGTGGCTGCGGTTAGCTCGGTTGAATCCCCTCCAACCAAACAGCGAGCAGGGGAGGCAGTGACGTCAAGAGTTTTCGACGAATTTGATGGTTGTAGTTTGTCAGCGAATGCGATAGTAAAGTAATCCAATCTGGATCAGATCCAAATATCGAGAAATTGAAACCGGAGCAAGAGGAATGTTTAGCAAATAAAAATTGCTGCCAAAGATTTGGGAGTACAGCCACAGGAGGAGATAGCTAAAGCTCGGCTAATTGGTAAAGCTTGGCAAAATGCTAAATACCTCACTCACTCGGCCGCATTATTACTGCAAATAGAGTTAACCCCTGCCACCTGTTCACGGAGCTCAACGGAACACCTCCAGACCTTAGTATGAAGTAAAATTAGTATGATGGTGTGGAAAGACAGGCTAAACCATCTCTACTGTCATATCATTGTTTTTTTTTCATTTTCAACCCCTTTATTTGTCCATTTCTGGGTCAGGGGGGTGGCAATGAGAGCTGCCACCCAAGTCTCATAGCACCAGTCCCTCACTGATCTTCTGCAGGGGGTGAGTCCACAGGAAGATGGCTGCTCCGTCAATTGTGAAACAGCCTTGATCTTTCAGCAGGGGCTTCAGGCAATGTGGGGTTAAGTGTCTTGCCCAAGGACACAACGACAGCAGTCATCAGTGGGAGGAGTTGGAGTAGGTCCCATGGTGGGAATCAAACTTTCAAAGGGCTTCTGAAACAGTTTTAGTTAGCGCTAAAAGCCCACAGATCTGATCAGAACCAGATAAAAACAAAAGGAAGTTTTTCTTGTAGATTAAATAAAGCAGAGAACTGATGTTATCCAAGAGGAAAAAGATCTGTTAATGTTAGAGACCGCTTTCTCTCATACCCTTCTTTACCTCCGTCCACTCTCTCTGCTCCACACAGCAGTAATGAGACGTGCTGATAAAACCTTTGCATTCCTCCAGAACCCGGTCCATCTCACCTGGTTGTTATTATACTTTTGTGTGCTATGAGCGCCCTTCTGCCTGTTCCCCAATAACCCTCTCCTCACCTCAGCCTTGAAATAATAAACACAGCTCGGCCGTGGCACCCTGGTACCCGTGGGCCTGCACCCCGGCTCCGGCTGTCGCTCGTGGGCCCTGGAGCTGAGGCGAGGGGGGGATTACCGTGGATGTAGCGGCTAAGTGCTTCTTCATGATGCTACTTTCGGAGGCTGCAGAGGTTTTGATTACTCACAAAGCTCTTGGTCTCTGGGGGAGATGTCAGCAGGCGATGTAAACTATCTATGACCTCATGCATGAATATTACTGTTGACTTTAGTAAAGCAGAGGTACGGAGCACAGGTCATGCAGCGACGACACGGCAACACACCAGGAAAGAAACCAAGAAAGAACCAACAGACATGCAGATAAAAGCAAAGTAACAGAGTATTTGTACTGCTGCACTTGGAAATGAAATTCCTCTTAAAGGTATACAGGAGGATTTTCCCAAATTTAAGGAAAGAACCGCTCTCTCCACTTCTTGAACAAAACTCTCTGGTCTTATTTGACGAGCCGCACCACAATGATTGACGATTGGGAGGACCAATAGTCTTGATGATCCACTTGGAAGTAAAATATTCCCTGAAATACTTTGGATATTTCATGACACTTTGAGCAACTGTGGTTAAAGTTCATCGAGGTGGAAGCTTCTAGCACCGTGGAAAATGCTGATTGGACGGTCTCCTTCCTCCTTGTTGTATAATATCACTTGCATTCTCTGCCATCGACAATAAAACACGTCTGAATTAAAGACACGATCCCAGATTTTTGTCATCTTCAATACCTTTAACTTCAATACCTTCTTTTTTGTATTTTTTTAATGATTGTTAAAAGCAATTAAACACAGTTAGTGACAGTTATTGACAATCTGTTTATAAAAACAAAAAATTATGCTACTGTCAGAAATTGGCGTTAGCCTTTTTAGCTGTATTCCAGATAGTTGGTGTATTCTAATATTTCACTGAAGACTCTGATTAAGTCTCCAGTGAGAGTTTGAAAACGCAACACGCAGAGCCAAACCCCAGCAGGTGGATTGCATCTGTATTCAGCGCTATGGAGAGACATGTGTCACAGGAGGAAGATCCTGGCAACAAAAGTATGATTGTGATTGTAAGAGATTGGAAGACTGTTTGAGGGTTAAATACTAAAGGTGAAGACTGTCTGAGGGTTAAATACTAAAGGTGAAGACTGTCTGAGGGTTAAATACTAAAGGTGAAGACTGTCTGAGGGTTAAATACTAAAGATGAAGACTGTGTGAGGGTTAAATACTAAAGGTGAAGACTGTCTGAGGGTTAAATACTAAAGGTGAAGACTGTCTGAGGGTTAAATACTAAAGATGAAGACTGTGTGAGGGTTAAATACTAAAGACAAAGACTGTGTGAGGGTTAAATACTAAAGACGAAGACTGTGTGAGGGTTAAATACTAAAGACGAAGACTGTGTGAGGGTTAAATACTAAAGGTGAAGACTGTCTGAGGGTTAAATACTAAATATGAAGACTGTCTGAGGGTTAAATACTAAATATGAAGACTGTCTGAGGGTTAAATACTAAATATGAAGACCCGTGTCTGAGCTGGTGTCAGTTTCAGTCACGGCTGCTTGAAACAGAGGAAAGGTGTGTGTTTGCATTCCTGGCTGCAGTTGTAGAAAACCTCACACCAGTTTTTTTTTTTTTTGTTGCATAACGAGGTTCATTTATTTCATTGAATTCTTCATTTTTTACAAACGCACTCCACGTGTGCCAAGCATGAGGCTGTTAATACTCTCCTCGGAGTGGAAAAGGTCTGTACGAAGCTGCCCGAGGTCTGCCGCTGCCAAAGTAAAGCCTCCGGGCCGCGGTGAAGCTGCAGCCGTTACTCCAAACCCGAGCAGAGGACCGGAAATGTGGGTTTCCTCTGGTCCCACGGCGCTGCAGGTGTCGGGACCGTCAAGAGTCGACTGTTTAGATGTGTCCAGTACAGTCAGGGATGAACCAACAGCCATTTACAGATAGATAGATACTTCAGGTCTAGTTCCGGGGGGAATGTGCAAATGTACAGATGTAAACATACTGCTGCTAAAGTACAGATGTAAACATACTGCTGCTAATGTACAGATGTAAACATACTGCTGCTAAAGTACAGATGTAAACATACTGCTGCTGATGTACAGATGTAAACATACTGCTGCTAATGTACAGATGTAAACATACTGCTGCTAATGTATAGATGTATACATACTGCTGCTAATGTACAGCTGTAAACATACTGCTGCTAATGTACAGATGTAAACATACTGCTGCTAAAGTACAGATGTAAACATACTGCTGCTAATGTACAGATGTAAACATACTGCTGCTGATGTACAGATGTAAACATACTGCTGCTGATGTACAGATGTAAACATACTGCTGCTGATGTACAGATGTAAACATACTGCTGCTAATGTACAGCTGTAAACATACTGCTGCTGATGTACAGATGTAAACATACTGCTGCTAAAGTACAGATGTAAACATACTGCTGCTAATGTACAGATGTAAACATACTGCTGCTGATGTACAGATGTAAACATACTGCTGCTGATGTACAGATGTAAACATACTGCTGCTGATGTACAGATGTAAACATACTGCTGCTAATGTACAGATGTAAACATACTGCTGCTAATGTACAGATGTAAACATACTGCTGCTGATGTACAGATGTAAACATACTGCTGCTGATGTACAGATGTAAACATACTGCTGCTAATGTACAGCTGTAAACATACTGCTGCTAATGTACAGATGTAAACATACTGCTGCTAAAGTACAGATGTAAACATACTGCTGCTAATGTACAGATGTAAACATACTGCTGCTGATGTACAGATGTAAACATACTGCTGCTGATGTACAGATGTAAACATACTGCTGCTGATGTACAGATGTAAACATACTGCTGCTAATGTACAGATGTAAACATACTGCTGCTAATGTACAGATGTAAACATACTGCTGCTAATGTACAGATGTAAACATACTGCTGCTAATGTACAGATGTATACATACTGCTGCTAATGTACAGATGTAAACATACTGCTGCTAATGTACAGATGTAAACATACTGCTGCTGATGTACAGATGTAAACATACTGCTGCTAATGTACAGATGTAAACATACTGCTGCTGATGTACAGATGTAAACATTATACTGCTGCTAATGTACAGGTGTAAACATACTGCTGCTGATGTACAGATGTAAACATTATACTGCTGCTAATGTACAGATGTAAACATACTGCTGCTAATGTACAGATGTAAACATACTGCTGCTGATGTACAGATGTAAACATACTGCTGATAATGTACAGATGTAAACATACTGCTGCTAATGTACAGATGTAAACATACTGCTGCTAATGTACAGATGTATACATACTGCTGCTAATGTACAGATGTAAACATACTGCTGCTAATGTACAGATGTAAACATACTGCTGCTGATGTACAGATGTAAACATACTGCTGCTAATGTACAGATGTAAACATACTGCTGCTGATGTACAGATGTAAACATTATACTGCTGCTAATGTACAGATGTAAACATACTGCTGCTAATGTACAGATGTAAACATACTGCTGCTGATGTACAGATGTAAACATACTGCTGCTAATGTACAGATGTAAACATACTGCTGCTGATGTACAGATGTAAACATGCTAATGTACAGATGTAAACATATAACCACACTTTACTTGCACTAGATTACACAGTACTTTATATTTGCCTCTTATTTTGCCAAATGTTAACCTTTTACCCTTCTTTAATTAGTATGTTCAAGATAGAGATTTTATACTTTTATTGAGTCTAGAGTTAGAGATTTCTTTTTTATTTTTATTAGTATAGAGTTATTGTTCACCTTAACGTGTGCCGTGTGCTCATCTCTCTTACTGTTCTATAACCTGTGATGCAACACTAAAATTTCCCTACTGTGGGACAAATAAAGGATCTCTTAATCTTAATTAGAATTTAATCTAATATATTGTCTTGTCTAAATCTTCCTCCTAGGACTAAGTGGTGAAATAATATATCATCTTAACACTTAATATATTCTGTCGTATGTACTCACTGTCGTTGCTTAAGTCGGACCAGACTGCCAGTGTCTCGTAGGTCTTTTAGGTTTAGTAAGTTACTTTATTTATACAGAGCGTTTTGCAGACCATGGTCACACAAAACACCGAACAAAGTTGTATCAATAATTTCCATTCTCTCCACTCACAGAGATGACAGAAGCCCTGACCGTCACCATCCGGTCACTCCCTATTGGACAGACCCAAAAAATGTACTTTTCTCAGCTGGTGTCCATGATAGAGTTGTTTCCACTTTACGCAAAGCTGTTTTCAGCGCAATTCATGCATGTTTGAGTTCTCTATATCCTCATGTAGGTGCGCCTCCCTTGCTCTTCCCTCAGTCCTCTCTCTGACAGCCGACACCGAACCTCCGTCCTGGTTTTACTTGCTTTCGTTCCTGAATTCCCCCGGCTCATGTGGTCATTTCTGCTCCAAGGAAATCAACATAAACAAAAGTCAATTGGATGTTTGGCTCACCTGTCATTGTAAAGCGCTTTGGGTGACCTTGGTCTGTAAAAATGTGTTATATTTAAATAATAACGGCTTATTAAACGAGCGCGAGGTTAATACATGTTTTATTATATGACTATTTTTATTTTTGTGCAAATATCGATCGGTTTCAACTCGCAAAAACACATGCAACCAAACTGTCAAATGGTGACATGGAGAACTTGCTTATCAGATGACTGAGGCGCCCGCTGTAAGTTTTCAGTCTCTTCTGTGTCTTTACCAATGCTTTTTAGATATTTGTGAAGTATGTTCATGTCCGACTTGGTTTTCCTAATCGTGTTTTTACCTTTCTGGTCTGTAACGAAGTTGTCACTCTCTTCTTGACTGTTAGGAGTTGCATTTTCGTCATTATTTGCTGTTATTACTTCCTCTGGCTCTTCTATTATCGTCCGGAAAATAGAATTCACTGGAGAATGCTCCCCGTCGTCACTCATTATTTATTTTTTACCGAGGAAAGATTTCTATTGATACGCGCTGCGGACCAATTGTCATGGTAACGGTCCGAGATGGGAAAATATCAGACCCCAAATCAGCCAATCAGAGCGCTCGTACAATTCAAGTCATATAATAAAAATTACTTACTTACTTACAAGTGCTCTAAGGCCTCACAGTAGACATTTAACCGTGCAGTAAAGTGCAGTGATGACCATGTTACAGAGAACAGAATGGACACTCCTGGATGTTTCCGTTCCCGTCACTGGCTCCGTATTCTCTCAATTTTTCAGTTTCTCGGCCCATTGTGAAGGTGTCTGAGGGCTCTGAGGGCTCCGAGGGCGCGGCCGACCTGCTCCGGTCTGTCAGCGGAGCCTGCCCCTCTCCACAGCGAGGCGAGTTTATTTGCTCTGATACGTGGTCCGTCGTCCTATTTTCACAGGTGCTTCTGTTGTTGAATGGCCAGACGTGCTTACCCTGGCAGGCACAGGGCTCGGCTGGTCCAGGGCTTCCTCTCGGCAAACCCAAGTGTCGAAGCACAGGCTGTAGGAAGCAATCCTCCTCAAAACTGTTCAAAGATTATGAGCCTCCTGCACTACGTGTTAATGAGGAGCTGTTATTGTAATGTAGAGCTGTAAATGTCCACTTAAAAGACCGGTGGAACTATGTCAGAAAATAATAAAACGCATGGGCTGACGCTTTGAAATTGCTGGTGTTATGACTTCAACGTTTTCTGGGAGAATATGAAAATGCGGTTGAAAGGTCTGTGTCCAGCTTCTGTCGAGGCTTTGAAGGCTTCCAGTTTGGAGGGACCCGCTGGCCGCAGAAAATCACCAGCGGGTTTTTGGGAAAGAGGCGAGTGAGGCCTAAACCTGTGACATGTGGCATGAAATCACACAGTTCAGATATTGCTCCAAGAACAAGACTTTTGCAGGACTTGTAATGTTCTTTACATGTGGAGACGATTACTCTTACACTTTCCAGCACCAGACTCTATAATAATTTACCCTTGGAGTGGGAACCAAATAAAGTCACCAGAATGGAACTAAGTACACAGTTTTTATAGAAACATGTTCCACTGTAGCTTCAGACATAACATTCTGAATCAAGTGAAACCGTCTTTTTAGTCTCTTTACAATGTTGTGACTGTCCGGAATGTTGCTTGTTCTGCTGAATGTATAAAATCCAGCTCCCCTTTCACAACTTGCATCTCCACAATTACGATTACTAGAATCATAAAAAAGAATAAATAACAAAAATGCTTATTACGGACATTCACAGACGCTTCACATGTCATTATTCTTTCACTCTAAACACAGTGATGATAAACTACTATTGTAGCCACAGCTGCCTGGGGCACACTGACAGAAGCGAGGCAACCAGTATGTGCATCGGCCCTCCCTCCACTACCAACCATTCACACACACACACATCAGACTCATTCTAGGCAATGTGGGTGAAGTGTCTTGCCTGAGGACACAACCACAGCTTTGCACTTCACAGCCGCAGCCGCCCCACTGTGGCACATAGTGTTTCCCTGGTCTCCCATAACAGCACTAACCAAATGATTGATGACTTTAGATGATCATTTTATTTAATTATAATATTCTACAAAATGACATTCGACTGTTTGAATGAATCCTGTAGGGGACATGCGAGCCCAGAGGTTAATGTTATATACCATATGTTATCAAGAAAATGAAATCGTTGCTGTACAGACTAGGCCCAAACCAATAGATATAAAAGAGGACATTTGATGACACTGAATTATAACAAAATACATACAGACATAACAGAAAATATCATACCCCGAGGAGAGATGGTTGGAGAGAGAGAGAGAACCCTGGAGGCTCTGGACCTGAGTATTAGGCTGCTACATGTTGCTTAGAGAGTTGACACCGACCAAGAACCCAAACTAGTCCATCCCAGCTCTCTATAGACTGGCTGTGAGGTTACTCCCAGGTTCCACTGGATTGGTCAGGGGGGTCAGCCAGGAGCAGGCCATCCCCCATGGAGGGGGGACATGCTGGATATCAGATAATGGGGTTAATCCCCCGAAAGACCAAAAGCAATCAATATAGTGCTATGCTGATCATTCTGACATCATGAGAGTGTTCATTCATTCATTCATTCATTTGCCACCCAGTCCTCATAGCACCAGCCCCTCTCTGATCCTGCTGCAGGTGATGGGTCCACAGGAAGATGGCTGCTCTGTCAACGAAGACATGGGTGATTCAACAGGGGCTTCAGAGAAAGCGGGGTTAGATGTCTTTCCCAAAGACACAAAGGCAGCAGACTGTGGGAGCAGATGACATGGGTTGTGAGGGGATCAAACCCACAACCATTAGGTTCAAAGACCAAAGCTCTACCAGTTATGAGAGCAAAACTACTAGAATCCACCTCCGGGCTTTTCTGTGTGGTGTTTGCATGTTCTGCCCATGTCTGTGTAGGTTTCCTCCGGGTGCTCTGGTTTCTCCCACCACCAAAAACATGTACAATCCCCCCCCACTCCCTCCCCCCTCTCTGGGGCCAGAACTCCCCTGATAAAGAGATTCTGAAACCTCAGCGGGACTTCCTTGGTTAAATAAAGGTAAATATACAATAAGTGGCTCCGAGACTGAAAGAGAGAAATCTGTCACGACTGTCTTCAGAAGGTTCCAACAGAGACACAGAGAGGCCCCCCAGGTCCTAGCAGAGGGAGGTGAGAGGCCCCCAAGCCTCCAACCAAGTTTATCACAGAACACCTGACCACACCCACAGCGACATCACCATCTTGTATGATTTTACACCGAGCAAGGAACCAGTGGCTTCTTTATTATGCTAAAGCTAGAGATGTTATACTAGCTTCTTTATTATGCTAAAGTTAGAGATTTTATTTGATTTTAGTATCAAATTATTGTTCACTTATCTTGTGCCGTGTGCTCCTCAATCCTACTGCTCTGTAACCGGTGATGCAACACTGACATTTCCCCACTTTGGGACGTATAAAGGATCTCTTCATCTTAATTTATAGTTTAAGTCCGGCCTCCTCTCACTCCCTCAAACGTCCGGATCGCCTCCTTCTCCTGTTCTCACGTCACTCTGCATTCACACACTCTTCCTTTACTCCTCTGTCCCCTTAACCCTGTCTGACCCCCACCTCCCCGCCCCACCCCACCCTCACCACCACCTCCCCCCCAGACTCGCTGTGGTCCTCATAGATAACTGGCATCCCTCACCTTTCACACCGCTTCACGTGGAAACAATCAGAGCTCGCCTCGGCAGACAAATTAGGCCGTTATTGCAGACCGGAGATCAGCGCACATGCAGGCAGGAAAAGTGCGGCTAAATGCCAACAGATGGACCTCAAGGATCGGCACGACACAGAGGAGGCTGCTACAGTAGGGCCTGGACCGGTCTGGGGGTAATAATACTGCTGACGTGGGCAGGGTACATGTTTTGCGTTCAAAATCCATATGAAAACAATTCAAAGTGTACGGTGTAAGTTTTCTGATGGTGACCCCTGTATTGTTTGTTCTTGTCATCAGGTGAAACAAAGAAGGAGCCAAAATGCAGAAATACACAAAGTAATTCAAACAAAAGAGGTAAAGACAAACTGAAAAATCCATAAAGAACCAGGATTATGGACAGAGAAAGACAATGGTTCAGTCCTGTATGAGCACAGGCACATATGGACACGGAGAGACACAGGTGAAACACATGAGGGCGGGGCAGGAAGTAAAACTAAACAAAAAGTCAAAATTTAAACTAGAGAGTACAAAATCCACACCATGAGAGTTGTCACGATAATGTAGCTTATTTAATTACAGATGTTTTTACTGTCCTAAGTTCTGCATTGGGTCAGCTCTCCTCTCCGCAGATTTGACTTTTATTGTCAAGTGACTTGCTTTAATCTGCAGTAAAACCATAATATCTAGACGGACCTAAGCCAAAGCAGACAGTCCACCAGTGAATGTGTGAGATGCTGTTGCGGCCCGAAAGACAAAACATATTTGAGGACACAGAGACAGGTTGAGAGTTCAAAAATTGATTTTATTTATTTTTTCTCTTTAAAGTGAACTCTATATTTTATTTTATTTTATATATGAAGATTAATCCAAAAAAACCCAACCCAGTGTCCAGAACACAAAAACCCAAAGTAATCAAATTCAAAGTGGACCTGGTGGGCCAGCCAAAACCAACACCGAACCAACCCTATACAGGGCTGTCCGGATCCGATGCCGACACACCAACTAAAGAATAAAGAAAACCCAAGTAGCTACACCCTCACCAACAAAAATGTAACCACCGCACCCACCAGATCAAACAAAAATAAGGACAAGGAACAAGCTAATAATTGGCTAAAGAAAACAACCAAACCATGCGGCGTCTGGGGAGGCCGCACCAGGACAGCGCTTCTTATACTCCCGGCCCGAGCTGCAAAATATACAAAATAAGTTACTAAAAGTTTACCAAAACATAAACCAAAATGTAACACATAAAAAATATTTAGAAAAACAATCTTACCAAAAAATATAAAACCCCAAAAAATACCTGGACAAAAAAAAACACGAAACCAAAGGGGAAAAGGGGTGCCTCAACATAACAGATGCACCTTTAAAAATGACATATTATGCATTATTGTAACCAGATTTTGTACTTTGTCATTTAATGTATTAAAATGTGAAATAATATTGTTAGTGGACAGTATATGGTGAAACATGTTTGAAGGGTAAAACATGCTTTCTGTCTGTAACTCCCCATGTTGCCACCAGGGGGAGAAATGTAATCGTTTTTTTGTGTTTTATTTTTTTCAAGTTTGAAAAATACCAGCTGCAACTTAAATAGGTCGTTATCTTGAATATATTTTGCAGTGAAACCATCAATGTGATATAAACAAATCCCTCTCAGTTTGTCTTTAACAAAAAAAAATAACAATCTGACACGAGTCACAGTGATACAAACTCTTAACTCTGGGACCACTGACCCCGAGTCTCAGCCTGAGTCTCAACCCGAGTTTCAAAGTAAAATTTCCGAGTTGAATATTTTTCCCCCCTCTGAGTTTCCGAGATCGCATGAAAGTGTCTTAAGATAAAACTGTTAAAACAGAAAGAGCGGGATCATTTGTTTGTTTCTGATTCGAGCGTGGATGGATCTAAAAGCAACTTAATGTTAATGTTGTAACATGGTTAAAGCTCAAATAAGTTGCTTTTATTAAATATATCTCTCTGATTAGCAATTGCGACCTCCCTCTGATACTGGACATGTCTGCTTCATGGTTGGTCCTTGTTTGCCCCCAGTCTTTCCCATTCCCTCACAGAAACAAGTGCATAGAGAAAAGCATTGCCCTAGCATTAAATCCAGCAGAAATTTTTATCCAAAGGCAAATTCTTTGTCCAAGTTTCTTTGTATTAGCGATCCAAAACATGAATCATAGTGACTCTAAACAGCCTGCCGCTGACTGATCCATATTTCATCAGGAGCCTGGCCCAGTCTCTCCCTGGACCTCCACGCCAAATCGTAGATTCTTGTCCAACACATTTTCACAATCAGTCTGTCATCACTTGTAAAACACGGATGAATAATGTTCTCCGAAATTGATTAATTTAGAAAACATTTGCCATTGTAAACTGTTGATCTTAAACTAAAACTTTGACTCCGACTGCTTTTGGATGAGTTTCACTGAATGGATAACATAAAGCATTAAGGCTGGGGCACCTATAACCTCGTTGTGACTAATGCATGTTTTATCCCTAAAAAAGAGAGAGTATTTTAAAAGTAAAATGTAAAAAAGTAAAACATCTGACACAACATGCTGTATTATAAGAATAATAATAATGAATCATATCATAAAGTGCTTTTCAGGACATTCAAAGACACTTCACATGTCACTATTCATTCACTGGTGATTAACAACTACTGTAGCCACATCTGCCCTGGGGCACACTGACAGTGGTAAGGCAACCAGTCTGTGCCATTGGCCCCTCTGACCACCACCAACCATTCAAACACACAGCAGACTAATTCTAACGTGAAGTGTCTTGCCTGAGGACACAGAGACAGTTCGACACCTTACAGCCGCAGCTGCCCCACTGGTGTTCCGAAAGGTCTCCCATCACAGTACGAACCAGGCACTGCCCTGCTTAGCTTCAGAGGTCTGACGAGATCTGGCTTTCACCCGGATGTATGTTTTAAGAGACAGGGGAGTCACTGTCTTGGCTGAGAGACGATTGGCAGAGTGAGGGTGGTCTTCTCATTTTCACTTCTCTGTCTGAATTTTGTTGCATTGTTCTGACTCTGTAATGACAATAAATCTGAATTTAATCTAATAAAAAAAAAGCTGATGTAAAGATGTGACAAGATTACATGTGAAAACTACAGAGATAGAACCAAACTGGGTTGAGCGTTGTGAACTTGTCAGACTCTGGTTTTAGAACGAGGTCAAGATATAAATTTATATTTTTGAATATTGTCGGATTGTGCAGAACCACATATGTTCACGGTCACTTTACTGTCACTTTATCCCAGACTTCAGCTTCAGACATTTATATTTTTATTTTTTGCACTAGAATATACAGTGGTCTATACTTTCTTCTTTATTATGCTAAAGTTTGAGATGTTGTTGTGCTGTGTGCTCCTCATTCCCACTGTTCTGTAACTATTGATACAACATTGAAATTTCCCCTCTGTGGCACTAAGACGGGATATCTTAATCTTCATGTTAATCTTAAACATGTCCAAAAGCTTTCTCTGTCAGCTGTCAGAGCCGTGTAAAGGTATTGGCAACACTTCTGGTCAGCTCGAGGCTTTGAAAACGTCTCTCTTTCGGGTTCACAGCAGACATTGATTAATCGTGCTATTTTAAGAGGATCTAACCTGCTCTCATTGAGTCTGAGCGCTCTCCGCCTGCTCCATTTCCAGACGCCGCCACCACACTCGTCCATAAAGCACTCTTCCTCCTTTTGAACCCGGGCGAATCAAACCAAGAGGCTTTGATTTCTGCATCCAATCCTCTTCCCCCAAAGTGAAATGCTTGACCTGGCTGCGACACAGAGCTGCAGATCGGATACACGTCCGGTAAAAGCCACGACCGCAAACCTTACCTTTTTAGATTCAGTAAAAGTGTGCGAGTCGAGTTACAATTTAGCGCTGTAGTTTCAACGTATCCATCTACACAATAGCTTTTTGTGGTCATCCGAACACAAGAGCAAATTCCTCTTTTAAGTTTCCGGGCTTTGAAGAACGAGGCTCATCCCCAATTTCAACAGCACCCAATCAAAGCAGGGCTGAGGTATGGATTAGGAGAAGTGCAGCGGCGCACCCCAGGGCTCGTATCTGGCACCGCTCTGGTTTTGAATTACCCTCAATTCCATTCAATCACTCACTGTCCCAATAAAGCCCAGAGAGAACACAGGGGTGGATGAGGATTTCTCAGCACCATCGTACAATAATTAATGTCTCACTGATTGTCAGATTGTGAGGGACCCTTGATAATCAGCGAGTGTAACGACAAGGCTGAAAGAAGACAAAATAATCTCATTTTTATATTGATTTGAAGGAGTTCAAGAATAAGGGGATTTAAGCGTATTTAAGACTCTCAGGTGACCCACGCAGGCTGGAGAGAGGACACTCAGAAGCTTGGGAGGTCCTAATTGCAGGTGAAAGCCAGATCCCGTCGGACCTCTAAGCAGGCTAAGTAGGGCAGGGCCTGGTTAGTACTATGATGGGAGCCCTCTAGGAAAACAGATTCACCAATAGGACAAAGTCATTTAGTCTTTCTTCAAGAACTAACATTTCTTGTATCTTTTTAAGAAAAGATAATTTTTCTTTGTCCCATTGGTAAATCTTGCTTTAAAGCAGTAAGAATGTGCTCAAATTAAGATACATTTTGCCAAATTTGAGCTAATTTTGACTTTTTTCATGATTGACAATTGAATTTCTCGCAAAAAGTGACAAAAAATAGGTAAAAACTTGCTCAAATCAGAATTTTTTTTTTTTATGCAGTGTAACTTGCTAGGATGAAATACCGGATACTAAAGAGTAATGGAAACACAAGCAGGAAGAGTGGAGATGAATAAATAAACCCATCTCTTAAAGAAAAAGTGGATAAAAAGTAATAATAAAGTAATCTTAATGCAGAGTATCAGGAGACTACTTTTGAAACCGTTCTCTTGTTCTCTTGCTGCAGACACATGTTTTTTGACCTGTGTGGAAATGGTGCAACAGGGGGAAAGGTTGGCATGTTGTTTGGACCTGCGTCGGCTTTTTAGCACGGACAGGAATCTTCCAAAATAAATGGGTCACAACAAAGTCCTGACATTTCAAAATAGGTTTTCTAGAAGTCAACGCGCCAGAACCACAGGAATCACATCATCACAGACTTTGGAAAGTTTATCTTCCACGCGGAGAAATGTAAAGCATTTATAAAAACGGAATGAGCAGAACGTGCAAAAGCCCAAAACTTGATGATAAGAGTTGCCTTCTCTAAACCTCATGTGAGCACCAACGGTAGACCAACGGTAAACCAACGGCACTGATTATGCCTCGGTAAAAAGACAAGGTCGCAAGGCGGGTTGGATGCCCAGTTGTTTTTACCCACCAGCCTGTGTTCCTCGGTATGTCCGAAAAGATCGATCCAGGTTTTATGCGTTTTTGCTCAATGGCGATGACCTTTTTATGTTCACAAAAATGGAACAGAGGCAGAGAAGCAAACTACTGTATACTGCTCCAGTGTAAACTAATACTTAAAAATTATATGTTTGGGTAAAAATACAATTCATATTGCCTTGTCCCATTGGCAAGTCTTGCTTAAAGGCAGTCAAAATGTGATCAAATTTTGCAAAATGTTTGGCTTTTTTCATGATTGACGCTTTTGAATTACTCCTACACTGTAAAAAGTGATGAAAGATAACACAAATTAGAAAAAAAAAACACATTTATTATCCTCATATTTTTCCTCATATTTTATAATTTTTTGCAGTGTACAGGGCTTAATAAAGCATCTACAGTATCTATCTATCTATCTATATATCTATCTATCTAAAAAGTCCATTGTTTGTATTTGTGTGGCTCACCAAGCCCCTTCGGTCCAACCTAAAAAAAAAATGTGGCTAGAAATGAGCAGCGGCTCGAGATCATAAATATTCAGTGGTGAAGCTCTGATCCCTCGCGCTCTCGGAGCTGTCTTTTCTCCGACTGGAAACATCTGTGTCTGCAGCAGCTCTCCTCCCTCTGGACCTGACAACACCACCACCACCACCACCTCCACCTCCACCACCACCACCGCCTCTACGTCCACATCTGTCATCCTTCAACCGGACAACGTTCAAGATTTCCATCGTGTAAAGACGTCGTGTTATGCAGACCGGCCCATGGAGCTACCATTCCTGTGGAGTTACGCGCGCCCGGGATGCAAAACATTACAGTCCACGGTTGAAATGATCAGAATTGGCTCAAGGTTAGCCTCAGATGTCTGGAGAGAAGACTGCGTATTTATTATTATATTTAGTTTTGTTGCTATGTCTTTTGATGGACGTCACTAGAACATACAGAATTTTACACTTGCTTCTTTAGTTTGTCAATGGGATAGATTTTATACTTTTTATTATGCTAAAGCTAGAGATTCTTCTGTTACTTTATTATGCTAAAGCAGGGGTGGCCAATTTTTTTTTACTGCTTTACAGCAAAGAGCCACATCACACAAATGTGCACTACAAAAACATCACCCCAACCCTTGCGCACGTACGCACACGTGCACGTACGCACACGCACACACCTCTGCTCAGACAGTTTTATTGTAAATGTCACACACCAACATGATAATGACAGAAATTGACTCGTACAGTACTAAAGGGCTGGACTCAACTCTCCCTGGTTTGCGGGCGCTTCCACCACTCGCTTTAGCCGCTCCCCGGTACTTATTAATGGTTTGGCCCTGGTTCTAACCAGGAAAGTCGATACCAGAACAATTTGACGTCAGCGAACATCAATTATGATTCCGAAATGAATACTTTCAATCTCTAACCAAGAAAAAAAAAATCGAGTTTCAACCCAGTGTTCAGCAGAAACACAACTGTCTTTATCGAACCATGATTCACTCTGACTGCGTTTAGTAAAAGTTATAGATTTGACACATAACACCAACAGCACTACAGCTGATTTAGAACCACAGACACATGTTCAGTATAAGACCAGACACTTTTGAACCACGAGTGCTAGCTCCACAAACAGCTTCTGGTTTCTGGTGGAACCATCGAGCTCACGCTGGTGTCCTCTCCTCAAACTGAGGAAGGTGTTGCCCTCATCCAGCGACCGAGGAATTGTTTTCCGTACGGACGTCATGGGTCGAGGCAACATGTTGTTTGTTATGATATTTGCAACAGCTGAGGCAGCAGCTGCAGAGTGATTGACAGCGCATCTGACCAATCAGAATTGACGTTTGCCGACGTCAGATTGTTTTGGCGGCCTGGCTAGTGGAGTGAAGTCGGCCTTTACTATGGGTCAGAACTACTTAGGGAATGAATGGCAGCACCACCACCGAGGCGTTTTTGACGCTTGTCGTGTGGAAGCCCGAGAGCCGCACGGAACCAGCCAAAGAGCCGCGGGTTGGCCACCCCTGTCTTTATTATGCTAAAGCTAGAGATTGTTATACTTCTTTATTATACTAAAGCTTGAGAATTGTATGGTACTTTCTTTTGCTAAAGCTAGAGATTTGTAGTTTTCTCTATTTTGCTAAAGCTAGAGAAATTGATGCTACTTTATTATGCTAATGGTATAGATTTTTATACTACTTTATAATGCTAAAGGTATTGATTTTATACTTCATTCTTGCTTAATTCTGCTTAAATTGAAGATGATTGATTCCCTCCTTATTATGCTAAAGCTCTAGATTTCATGTTATGCTAGTTTATTTAGTGCACTGCAAAAAAGGATAAAAAATAAGTCAAAAATTGCAAAAAATTTGCCAACATGTATCTTAATATGAACGCATTTTGACTGCCTTAAAACAAAATTTGCGGATGGGACAAAGCAATATTATCTTGTTTTTAAAAAATGCAATAAAAACCGGTGTTAAAAACCACTCAATTCAAGCTTTTATCACCTCATATTCATCTCTTTTTGCAGTGCATCCATACAAACAATTAAAATATAATATATCTAAAACTCAAAACTCTGAATGTTACTAACAAAAGCCAATTCACACAAGCTTTTCCCGCCTCTTAAGTGGAAAAGGAGCGCGTTTTGGAGATCACTATATAAAAGAAAGTGTTTAGATGTGGTGAAATGTATAAAAAAAGAAGTATATTAAAGGAAAAGAGATTTAGGGAGCAGACTTAGCGAACACGCTGAGGGCCCCATGCTGGAAAATGGCGATGTCGGTCTTTGAAGCGCGGTGGTAATGAGGCGGCTCTGAAAAGCCAATGAAGGCGGCTTTGGCAGGTTTTGAAAGGGGGGGATCCGAAAGCCCCCGCACTCGCTTGGCCTTGTGCGCCGCGTGGATAGAAGCGGGACAAAAGACAGTATTAGGGATTAGCTGCATGTGATGCTTTTTTCCAGTGGGTAAAGCCCTCGTTGTCACCAAAAACCAATCCGCTTCTTTCCGGAAAAAAACATAAAAGTGGGTCAAAATACGAAAGAGCAGCGTTAAAACTTTTTTGTTGCTGTGAATATAATAACTTTCAAACCACAATTATGGAACTGTGTGATAGAATCCATGTCATTCCTGGCTCTGAAACACCCATGCGTTTTCTGTCAGACCTCTCATGCTGTGCAGGGCAGGGCCTGGTTAGTGCTGTGATGGGAGACCTCTGGGAAACACCAGGTGCCACGGTGGGGGCGGTTGCGGCTGTTTAGGACTTAGGCAAGACACTTCACCCACATTAGAATGAGTCAGGTGTGTGTGTGAATGTGTGGTGGTGGTGGGAGGGGCTGATGGCATAGACTGGTAGCCTCACCTCTGTCAGTGTGCCCCAGGGCAGATGTGGCTACAGTAGTTTATCACCACTGTGTATGGAGTGAATGAAAAATTACATGTTGGGCGTCCTGAAAAGTTCTATTACTATTATTACATTTTTAGATCAGCTTTTTCAGACAGAAAAGTGAAGAACAGAGGCCCACCCTCACTCAGCCAAACAGATCATATCATCAAATAGTAATTAATGTAAAAAGTTCATTATGTTTAAGGCACTGAAGGTTTTTATATGACCCTTTAGATTACCTTTTGAGTCACTATATCTACTTACAGCTTGGAACTGGATCTAACTTATTTGGGTTGTAGGCACTCAAACTAAACCATTTGGCAAAGGCTGAAAAAAAAAATTAATCACTTTCTTCAAGGAGTCAATGTCAAAAGGTTAAGACAAAAGTGTAAAGTGGCTACTTCTGCATAATTGCTTCTTTAAACTCTCATTATAAAAAAAACCTCTAAGCCTCAGTCAAATAGTGACTCCCAGAGCTCTTTCTGGAGTGTGTGTGGTAAGGCAGGGTTTGGAGTAGATTACGTTAATGAAGTAAATAACATAAGAACATTAAATCCAGCAGTATTTAAACCAGAAGAAGGCAGTTAAGCAACAGAAGAAGGACCATCATCAGAATTGTATCCTTTTCACTTATTTTGAGTTCTCAGTTCATTCACAATAATCAAAAGACCCCTGATAGGCCGGTGTAGGTGTAAAATGTATTCAAAATCTATTCTAAAAATACAGGGTAAGAAACAGGTCTGAAATATGGCTAAAAACTGGGGCTAAAATAGTCTTTGCTGCTCTGTCCATTCTCTCTTTCTCTCTTTGGTTCTGCTCGGCTTTTCGTGCCTCGTGACCACGGCCAGACTACCGGGTTTTTGCCTCCCCCTGTGTCTGGCCCCGTGTCTCACTCTCTGGCTTCCTTCTTCTTCCTCTCCCCATCCCCGCCTCCACCCAAGGCACAGGTGTTACAGTAGTAATCTTTAACCTTTATCCAAACATGTTCCAGCTTCTTCCCTGTGGCACAAGACATCATTGGCTGAGAGGCGGGACATCTCGTTTTGCTAACATCCTCTTTCCTCGTCACTTTAATGATCTTGACACTTTTACTGAAATTGTTTTTGTTTTTGTTGATCAATTTCACAAAGACAAGTGTTTCTGTAATTTTTTTCAGCTTGTTTGATTCATGTACGTGTCCTGTGCACAGTGAGGCACCAAACGTAATCCTTCATGTCTTTTGCCGCAAATGGCCAATACAATAAATGAAATCTGATGCAGAATAAAGTTAGGCACCCCAGCTTTAATCACCCTCTGCAAAACAGCATTTGTCGGTGCGGCTGGACCACATTTGAAGACCACATTTTGAAAGTCATAGCATTTCGGACTCTTAATCTGCATCTGTGTCATTTATCTTACCCCATACACACAGACCAAGCGAGAAACAAGAAAAACGGCCGAACATTGATCCTACACATGAAGCAATCTCCGTGTTTTGATTGCAACTTTATCAGTGTGCCACAAAGCTCCCTGCAGAGCCTTTGAACGCCACTTTTTTTTCCCTTTTTCCTGTCTGAAGGTCCATCAGTTATCGTCTGGTGCGGACCGGAGCCAAAACAAGCTCCTCCAGAGGTTTTGTCAACAGCAGCTGAGGTGGGAGAGGTCTTTGTCGGCTCACTGTCCTCGCTCTTAATCTGGGGCTGAGGTCACTGCTCCGGAGGTCGAGTCCGAAGAAGAACAAAAGGAGAAACTGCTGGAGTGTGTCTGAGAACAGGGTTAGCGCCCCGAGACTGTTGTATAGAAACAGAACGGGAGGGCTTCTAATGAACGATTTAAACAACTCTGAGGTTTCCGTTCCGTTCGGACGCTTTTTATCTCTATTTGCTGATGTAGTGAATGAGAGGAGGGGGAATAGATAGATGGAGAGAGAGAGAGAGAAACAAAGGTGTCCAGTAGCTGCAGAAACACACCCGTCCATACAAACAAAACAAATACATTCTAAAAGTAGCTAACAATGGTATTAAAACTGTACTTTAGGTCCCAGCAGCAGAGGTGCACTCTCTATCTATCTATTTATCTATCTATCTATTTATCTATCTATTTATTTATCTATTTATCTGTCATCTGTCTATTCATCTATTTCTATTATTATGTTTTCGTTCAGCTTTCGTGTCTCTCTGTCTGTCTGTCTATCTCTCTGTCTGTCTGTGTATCTGTCTATCTCTCTGTGTGTCTGTTTCTCTGTCTGTCTGTGTGTCTGTCTGTCTGTCTGTGTATCTGTCTATCTCTCTGTCTGTCTGTGTCTGTCTGTGTGTCTCTCTGTCTGTCTGTGTATCTGTCTATCTCTCTG